GGGTGGGGGTGGGGGTCGGGTGGGGCAGGTGAAAGGCTTGAGGAAGAGAACAGAGAGCAGCCTCAGGGTAAAGGACTGGCTAGCCCACAGCTGCACCGCACTTGACAGTTTACAAAGCCCTGCCACGTCTGTTTATCTCACTTTATCCTCTCACCGACCCCCTGTAGATGACATCGCTGGACCCATTTTTCAGATGAGGACACTGAGGCTTACATAGAGGGCAAGGGGTCGTTAGTCACTTAGCTAATAAAAAGTAGCACCAAAGCCCTGGCCAGCGTGGCTCAGATGGTTGGGCGTCATCCCATGTGCCAAAAGGTTGCTGGTTCAATTCCAGGTCAGGGCACATGCCCGGGTTTTGGGCTTGATCCCCAGTATGGGGTGTGTGATTGATGTTTTGCTCTCACATAGATATTTCTCTCTCTCACTCCCTTTTCCTTCCTCTGTCGCTAAAAATAATATAAAATAATTTTTAAATCTTTTAAAAAAAGAAGTAGCCCCAGGACTTAAGGCCTTCCTCATTTGAGGGAGATCCTGGCCCCAAGTGGGGGCTGCGATGGACAATCTCTAGGGTTCCTATAATGCAGAGATGCCAAGATTCAGACAGAAGCTGGAGTTGGAGTGGAGGGGCTGTGGACCAAGGGGCCAGGAGAGCGCTAGCCGGTTTGACTCAGTGGATAGAGCCTTGGCCTGTGGACGGAAGGGTCCCAGGTTTGATTCCAGTCAGGGGCACATGCCCGGGTTGCCCGCTCAATCCCCAGTAGGGGGCTTGCAGGAGGCAGCCATTCAATGGTTCTCTCTCATCATTGATGTTTCTATCTATCTCTGCCTCTCCCTAATATATTTTTATTGATTTCAGAGAGGCAGGGAGAGGGAGCAAGAGATAGAAACATCAATGATAAGAGAGAATCATTGATCAGCTGTCTCCTGCATGCCCCCCACTGGGTATTGAGCCTGCAACCCGGGCATGTGCCCCTTGACCGGAATTGAACCTGGGACCCTTCAGTCTGCAGGCTGATGCTCTATCCACTGAGCCAAACCAGCTAGGGCTCTCCCTTCCTTTTTGAAATCAATAAAACTCTATTTAATACACACACACACACAAAGAAGCCAGGAGGCTCTTCATGGGTCCAGTTGGCTAAGAGGTTGAGGGCCACCACTGGCCTCTAATTCCCCTCTGACATCATTCTCCAGCTGTGTGAGCTTGATCAGTTTACTTGACCTCTCTGTGCCTTGAATTTCTTATCTGTAAAATGGGAATGACAATAACGTTGAGTCTTAAATGAGGGCCTGGCAGACATCAAGTACCCAGTATATCCCAGCTTGCATTATTGTTGGGTGGGGTGAGATGCCCAAAGGTATTCTGGAAGACAGCTGGGGAGGCAGAGGCACTGGACTGAAGAGGGAGATAGGAGTGGATGAGGTGGGGTCATCCCTAAAGGCGGGTGGGTGAGGTGGGGTCATCCCTAAAGGCGGGGCAGTGCCAGGGCTACTCCTCACCCCTCTTCTGTCTGCAGTGAACGACGTACGCCAGGCTGCCCGCAGCGCCGCCAGCTACATGCTCTTCGACCCTGAGGACAGTGTCATGCAGCAGAACCTGGTGTATTACCGCTTCCACCGCGCTCGCTGGGGCCTGGAGGAGGAGGACTTCCAGCCCCGGGAGGTGGGCATTGCCTTCCGAGGCACTCTTGGGACCATGTGATTTGATAAAAAATTCTGGCTTCCTTTATGGAAAGTGAAAAAATATGGGTTGTGGTTGGGGTCCTGGATTCAAACTCAGCCCCATCGGCTTTGTGGTCCTGGGAACACCGCTCACCCTTTCTCAACCTGTTGCCTCACCTGCAATGGGGCTGGTCCTACCTCCCTTACCAGCACCGCCGGCGAGGTGGGAGGTATAAAAATACCTGTAGGTTCCTGCCTGCTCCCTTCCCCACCCTCACCATCCTCACTGCTGGCCTTTGGCCTTCTTCCCCAGGGACCTCCCAACCTGGACCAACTGAGCAACTCCTTAGGAGTCTGGGGCACCCCTGGCACATATGGGGCACCTGGTGCTGGTGTCCATTTCCTTGTCAGTGGCAGACACTGCGAATCAGTTGAGGCGCTCTCTCCCACAGAACCCTCAGAACCCTTAACCCAGCACTCCAAGCAGCTGCACTTTTTTGATCAGCATGTGAGCTGACACCTGTCCAGGCTCCTTGAGCTGGAAAAGGGCCAGGGGGCCCAAATCCTCGGAGCTCTGGCTCCTCCTCATCTGGCAGCAGGGTCCAGCTCACCTCACTTTCCTTCCCTCCCACCAGGAGGCCATGCTCTACCACAACCAGACGGCGGAGCTGCGGGAGCTGCTGGAGTTCTCGCACATGTACCTGCAGTCAGATGATGAGGTAAGTGGCCCCCTGCCCCCCAGGGCTAGGTGATGATGGAGACCCCTTGGCCACTTTGCCAAAGCTCAGCCCCCGCTCCCAGCGGCCAGCTGTTGTGAAGCAGGATTCTCCTGTCCCTTAAATACACCTGCCCTTCTCCCCCCACTCCATGTTCTCCTGCCCCCTTCTCTGTATGTCTCAGTCGTGCTTCTCCTGGGCCCAGCTCAGGTGGCGCCTCCTCCAGGGAGCCAGGCGGCATGCCCTGGCTCTGTCTTCCAGGCTTGCAATGCCGACTGACCCTCCTGGTTTCCCTGGACCTGGACTTATTTGCAGTCCTGGTCCAGTTCACCCCCAGCCCCCTCTCCAGCCAGTCTCCCAGAGGGCTGTGATCCAGGACGGGGGACCAGGTTACTCCCAGCTCCCCCAGGTTACTCTGCTCTCCGGGGAAAGCAGAGCTGGCGCCCAGAAACTGAGTTTGAATGAACCAGTGAACGAAGGAAGGAATGCAGGACACCAGGAAGGAAGGACCACAGCGTGTTACGTTGATTCTGAATGAGGGTTTGAGGGTGAATGCTCTCAGGTGTCCCTGCTCGGGGCTTCTTTATCCACTCCCTCCTTTGTTCAAGCACTGTGCTCCCTCTTGGAACACGGGGGCCCAGTCTACACTCTCAGTAGCCAGGTTGGCGCTGGTCAGACTTGGTCCACCACTTCCCAAGTGGGCCCCCTCCAGGCAGGTCTTAGGGAACCCTGAAACTCTCATTTCCTCACCCATCGAGTGGGGAGGGTAATGCCCACCTCACCCCGTGTGGTGAGAATGAAACGAGATCAAGTGTGTAAAGCGCTGAGTACGGAGCTGGCCTGCATGTAGTCGGTGCTCAGCAGGTGGCAGCCGTTTTGACTGCTGCTGTGTGTTGTGTGCTGTTGGCCAGATACCGGGTTTGGGCCTGGGCTACATTGATGAGAGGCACAGTCCCTTTCCCCAGCAACAGGGGGAGGCACAACACCCCTCTCCCTGCGGGAGTGGTCAGCAGGGGGCACCGGAGGACCCAGGGTCATCGCAAGGGCTGCATCTGGAGCTGATGCCTGGCGTTGGGGGGATGAACAAGGGCAGTGCAGGCAGAGGGGAGGAAAGGCGTTCCTGGCTGGGAATGGCATGAGCAGACGGTGTGCACGGCCTACCAGCGCGCTCGGGGTATTTATACTTAACAAGTGGCTGCAGAGAGGGCGAAGCTTCTGCTAACACGGAATCTCTGCTGGTGGAGCCCCATGCACCAGTTTAGGGGGGTGGCAGCTGGGGATAGGACGGTAGGAGAAACCCTCATGTCATTCCTGTGTGAGATCTTGAGACAGGGATGGGGAGGGGAGGGCCCTTGGCCAGGATTGGAACTGGCCCAGGTTTGTGCCTTCTGTGATCTGGTTTGTCCCCTGACCCATGACCCTGGGGCTTCTCTAGATGGAGCTGGAGGAGACAGAACCGCCCTTGGAGCCCGAGGACCACCCATCCGATGCAGAGTTTGAGGGGGAGGGCGACTACGAGGAGGGCATCTATGCTGACTGGTGGCAGGAGCTGGACGCCAAGGGTGATGAGGCTGAGGCTGGTCAGTGATTGAGCCATGATGGGGGTGGGGATGCAGCCTGGGGTGGAGGTTGGGGACAGAGGGATCCAGGCACTGGGCTACAGAGGCGGGCGGGGGACTAATATGTGTGTTGGGTGCTGGGACCCCCTCCTCTGGGGGCTTCCTGTCTGTTGGCAACCTCTGTAGGGGGTGGTATCCTTCCTGGGATCAGGGGTCAGCCGAGACCTGTTCCTGGGGAGTCTCTCTCCCGCCTGCCCCACCTCCCCGTAGAATAGCACCCAGACGCCTGTTGGGAGGGGCGGGGGCTCACCCCAGTGCTCTCTCCTTTTCTTTGCAGAGCCGGAGCCTGAGCTAGCATGAGAAGAGGGCCACCCCAGCACCTCACAAGAACTTGGGAAGCCTGGGCCCAGTGGGACCACCCTCAGCAGCCTGGGCAGCAGCAAGACTATTTATTAAAAATGTAAAATGGACATAGCTGGCCAGGCCCCATCCTGTCCCACCCGAGAGCGTTGCTCCGGGCCCCCTGCCTCCTCGCTGGTCTCGACCACAGGATGGCGGTGCTGCAGCTGCTCCTCCCCTGGAGGAGGAGATGCCAGCTTCTCCTAGTCGGGGCCTCAGCCTGAATTTCAGAGACAGCAGAGGGGCGGCTGGCATCACGGAGAGCTCTGGACCAGGAGTCCAGCGGTGCCTGGCACTGGCCACGGTGCTCAATAAATGTTTCTTGTTGAATGAATTACATGGCCTGGCCCTAACCGGTTTGGCTCAGTGGATAGAGCGTCGACCTGCTGAACAAAGGGTCCTGGGTTCGAGTCCGATCAGGGGCAGGTACCTTGCTTGCAGGCTCCGGCTCCTCCCCTGCCCAGGCCCTGGTTGGGCTCGTGCAGGAGGCAACCAATCTATGTGTCTCTCTCCCTCTGTCTTTCCCTCTCCTTCTCTCCCCCCGCCCCCCCCCAAAAAAAAAATCAATGGAAAAATATCCTCGGGTGAGGGTTAACAACAACAACACGAAAAAGAATTACAAGACCTGGGGTCCATTCTCCCAAGGGCTGAGTGGTGAGGGTGCAGGTCCTCCTCTCCCGGCCTCTGTGCCCATCTCCCCTCATCATAAAATGCGGAGGGAGGGGGGTGAGGGGGCACAGTCTGGCCTCTGGACCCTGGGTGTTTGTGACCGTGAAGAGCAGCTGCTGTCATTGCAATCCACCGCCAGGGGGCGCGAGGACGCAGTTCCTGCCCCAAGCCCCAGGAAGATGGCTTCAGATTTCTAAGATGGGATGTCCAGTATTTTCCTAGTTCAGCATGGCTTCCCTGGGGATATGTGGTGAGTGAGGGGAAGGGACCAAGGACATTTACTTCCGGTTTCCACTTTTCAGGCATTGACCCAGGTTCCTTGGAGTCAGGGTGAGCATGGCCTGCCCGCTCTGCCCCTTCTCCATGAGCTGGACCCCATCTCAGTGGCCAGAGGAGCGCGGTTACGGTCTGCAATGTGAGACTTTGTGGGGGCAGTGGCGTCTTGCCCCATCTTGCATTGGCTCTGGGGGGCAGAGGATCCGGAGATGTGGGGGTGAGAGCCGTGTCTGGTGGCTCTCACCCAGCCCTGTGACTCACCAGTGTCCCCTCCAGGTTTCACAACGGGAAAGTGGGGGCCTGGGGGGGGGTCTCTGGGAAGGACCATGGGCCAGGGCCTGCCAGGTGACAGTTCTGCCCACTCCCCACGTTTCTGGCCTCTGAGGGGTAGGGTGGTGGAGGAGCCTTCTCTCTCACTATGGGGTGGAGCAGAGGCTGGGAACCTAGTTCTCGCCTTCCACACCCCTCCTCCCCAGAGGTGCCAGGTGGCTGGGCCTGGGCCCCGCCCATCTCTGTGCCCAGGAGAACCCCATATCCCACCCCAAACCCCTTTCCTGGGCCTTTATTGATGAGTGTGGGAAGGCCAGTCTGAGTCTGGAGCGCAGATAGGTGGGGTCAAGGGGCGAAGGTGACCTCACTCCTCCCATAGGTGAGTCTGCCGTGGTGGTAGCGTCTCCTGAGAACTCCCAGGTGCCAGGGTGGCCCAGCCCAGCCCCACCCCTTTCAAGCTGCTTCCACCAGAGCTCTGCCCCCTGTGGCTGGGAGGGGCTGCCCTCCGGGGCTGGCACTCCAGAGGGTGGGGAGCAGGGATGTGCCGGAGCCTGCCAGTGTGATTAGGAGCCTTGGAATCTGAAAGGGTGGGAGTGAGTCTGAAAGTGCTGGTGTGCGGGAGTGCGAAGGTCCGTGTGCTTGTGTGTAATGTGGCTGTGCGAGGCTAGGTGTGAGCGGGTGCCTGTGTGCGTGTGTCAGAACGTCCATCCTGGGCAGTGTCGTGGGTGTCTCCAAGTGCGTCCCTGTGCCTTTGTGAACATGATTCTAGGCGTTCACTCGCTCACTCACTCAGACATATTTATTTATTTATTTTTAAATATATTTTTTATTGATTTCAGAGAGGAAAGGAGAGGTAGAGAGAGATAGAGACATCAATGATGACAGAGAACCACCGATTGGATTGGCTGCCTCCTGCACGCCCTCTACTGGGGATTGAGCCCGGGACCCAGGCATGTACCCTTGACCGGAATCAAACCCCGGGACCTTTGAGTCCACAGATCGACGCTCTATCCACTGAGCCAAACCGGCCAGGGCAGGACATATTTATTGAGCACCCACTGGTGCTGGGCATTCACTAGTGGGCACAGCACTTGGTGGGTCTGCATCCCAGCGGGGAGATAGGAAACACTACGTGTTATAAAAGCTTTAGATAGATAAGATGGAAAAATGGAGCTGGGGAAGGGGAGGGAGAGAATGGAGCGGTTGCAGTTCAAGAAGTGTGTTGATGTGTGTGGCCAAGTGTGCATCTGAGAGTGGCGTCTCTGAGTGTGTGGTGATGAGGCAGAGTGTGTGTGTGTGCGTGTGCGCACGTGTGTGTGCGTGTGCGCGCGTGTGCGTGCATGTGTGTTGAGTGTGTGTGCATGCGCGTGCGTGTGTGTGCGTGTGTGTGTGCGTGTGTGTATGTGTGTGTGTGTGTGCGCGTGTGTGTGCATATGTGTGTGTGTGTGTGTGTGTGTGTGTGTGGAGGGTATCCACTGGGAGCAGAAGCCTGGCCCCTCTCTAGGCACCAGACAGGCTGCCAGCCCAGGCCTTCCCAGCCAGCGTGCCGTCTCAGCTCTCGTTCCCAGGCAGCGCCAGCCCCTCCTGTCTTTTCCTAATGCCGGCCTCTCCCCAGTGCCGGGCCAGCTCCCCAAACCGGTGAGACAGATTCCCAGCAAGTCCCAGCATGGGCCTCTGGGGCGCTCCAGCCCGTTCTCCCAGCCCCACCCAGCCAGACGCCCTGGCCTCCTCCATGTCTGTCTCCTTCCCCCACACCCAGCGCCACACCCAGCACCTTGTCAGTCACAGCATCTGTAGTAAAATGGGTAGAAGGTTAGCGACGGCCAATAGGGCACTGGGGATGGAGATCTCACACAGTGGGGCCAGACTCAGATGCCACAGAGGTGTGCTGGACCCAGAAAGGCCCCATCCTAAGAACAGCATCACTATTACAAGGTATTGAGTACCTACTATGTGCCAGGCACTTGGCAGGTTCTTTCTTTCTTTTTTAAAAATATACTTTATTGATTTTTTTATAGAGAGGAAGGGAGAGGGATAGAGAGTTAGAAACATCGATGAGAGAGAAACATCGATCAGCTGCCTCCTGCACACCCCCTACTGGGGATGTGCCCGCAACCAAGGTACATGCCCCTGACCGGAATCGAACCTGGGACCCTTCAGTCCACAGGCCGACGCTCTATCCACTGAGCCAAACCCGTCAGGGCGGCAGGTTCTTTATAACACGCAGAACAGTCTTGTCATGTGGATACCAATTCCCCTCGGCCACAGGTGAGGCTGTGGGATGAGAAGCAGCCTGTCCAAGGCTCCCCAAGGATGGTGGTGGCTGAGCTGGGTTTGAACCTTTCTCCCCAAATCAGGGTCGGCTTTGTCCCTTTCCAGGTGGGGAACCTTTCTTCTGCCAAGGGCCATTTGCATATTTATAGCATCATTCCCAGGCCATACAAAATTATCAACCTAAAAATTAGCCTGCTATATTTGGTCAAACATTTAATTAACTCACCCCTAATGCCTTGGCGGGGCCAGGCCCAATGATTCCGAGGGCCTTCTATTCCCCACCCCAGCTTCAGGCTGTCAGCTGGGGCCAGATCGAGGAAGGTGAGGGCCAGATGTGGAGACAAAAGGCCCACATTGCCACCGCTCACTACAGGAGACAAGGAGTTCCAGAAGGCGGGTGTGTGTGTGTGTGTGTGTGTGTGTGTGTGTGTGTGTGTGTGTAGGGAGGGATGATCATACTGTCAAGGGCCCTCTCTGGGTCCTGATCCCAGAGCCAGTCCTGCCCCTGCTGTCAGCTCCCTGAGATGGGGCCGGATGTTAGGGGGCCTGGGGACAGACTTGCTGGAGTCACTCAGACCAGCCTCTTCTTGGATCCTAAGTGATGGTCAAGTGAGGTGGGAGGAGTCCCATGGCCTTCCCCACATTCCAGTAAATTACAATGGAAGAAATTCCCCCTTGGATTTGAGAAATAGTTCTTGAAGTCTTACCCTCTTGTTCCCCTTGGACCCTCTCCCAGGGTCCCCTGGGGACACACAATGACACTCTCCTGTGTCAGAGGGCTGTGTCTGCCTAACCTGACTCGGGGAGTCCAGGCAGCCGCAGGGCCAAGCCCCCCACCGCTTCCCCACTCTGGGCTCTTCATCCAGGCTTTCTCTTGCAACTTCTCTCCAAGGCTCTGGCAGATGCCCCTAATTTCATAGATGGCGAAACTGAGGCCCAGAGAGGCTAGACTGGGCTCCCCCCCCTCCAAGGCCAGGGCTCACTCTAAGCTAGGCCGGTGCCCTCCTGCCCAGCTCCCTTCCCAGGATCCAGCTCCAAGATGACTGGGGATTAGATGGGAGGGTGCTGGGGACTGGGAGCACCCACCCCAGTCAACCTCAGGCCAAACCCAAGGCCAACCTGTGGACACATCACCTCATAATTACCACCTGCCCGGGACCCAGCTGGTGCCGGGGTGCCTGGATAGCATCTCTTTAGTCCCCCAAGCAGCCCTTGGTGTGGGAGCATCTCTCATGCCCATGACTCAGGTGGGGAAACCGAGGTAAGGGGGCAGACATACTTGCTGGTTTACCACACATACCCTATGCACGTTCACGTACACACACACACATACTTGATCCTCGGAATCTGTGAAGGGACTCACTAAGGTCAGCCACTCGGAAAGAAGTCAAGAGAATTTGACATCTCCCATTTCGGGTCACCTTTTCCCTCTTTCTTTTTAGAAAAAGAGCTAAGTCAGAGGTGGCCAGTGGGGAGTCCTTCCTTTTCCCTGGACCACTTGGCTAATCCTCATGGCCTTCCTGGAGGAGGAGGCTGGGAAGGGTCCAGGTTCAGCCAGTCTAAGTGGGGAGTCTGGCCTCTCTCTCTGGCTGGGGTGGGTGTGCGGAGCCTCACAGCCATAGAGGACTTCCCGTTCATATTTTTTGTTATCTCCAAATGAGGTCATGCACCCAGTTACAAAGACACAGGGACAGGAATGAAGTTCAAAAATGCTTGTCATACGAGTTCAACCTTTAGCACAATTATTTTGATAACCCTGGCTGGTTTTCTGTTTGTTTGTTTGAAAACACATTGGTATTCTCAAAAATGGAAGTGCCCCTGGTCTACCCCCAGCTCCCCTCACACACACT